GGGCAGCCTGGCGAGCACAGCAAATTTCAGGCCAGCAAGAGCTGCATTGTGAGTCTGGGATGGGGGATAGGAAGCCCAGTGAGGTTAAAGAGCTGACTTATTGGAAAATTTAATTTCTAAAGTTTGATTTAAAAAAATCCAAGGGCGGAGGAAATCCAGAAGCTGGACCTAGTTCCCTTTATGTCTCCAAAAACAAAAACAGTGATCACATAAAAACAAGTCTAGGAGTCTGGATACTCCAGGACGACTAGTGGCTCTTTGTGGCAATCGTGTGCTCCTAAGGGAGGGCTGAAGCTGGGGTCCAGTGTCAAGGGTTGGGACGGAAGCTGCAAGTGTCAGTGCCCCACCAGTCTACCTAGAATTGCCAGAGACCTCTCAACACCACCAGTACTTACAGGGAAGCCACTGAAGACTAAAGGGCCCCTCAGACAAAACAACCACCTTTCCCTACGACAAGGACCAGGAGGCTGTGAAGGCACACAGCAGTGCTGTGCATTCCAGGATGCCTATCCAGAAAGGGGACATTCTTTCCCAGCCCTCTTCTACATTGTCAGACCTCTGACCTGCTTGAAGAGGACCAGACTGCACACTTCCCCTTAAGTGGGGTAACCCTCACCATCCCGAAAAAGGCCAGAGGACTTGAGAAGCTGGGGTACACACACCCCTTTTGCCTATGAAGAGGCCCTTTCCACCATTCTCTCCAACCTGGATGTTGAACTGCCACCCGTTACAATACAGCTATTTCAACTTCTCATTCCTCTTTGTTCATGCTATTTTAATAAAGCTGTGTATGCATAGTAAGTACACTCCTACTAATACTGTGATTGGTATTTCTTGGGATTAATGCAGCATAAGGAAATTGAAAATCTGAGTTAACGTGATACTGGAGAGGCTGGAGAGAAGGCACAGTGGAGTGCTTGCTGCTCTTGAGGATTGGAGTTCAATTCCCAGCACCCACACCAGGGGGCTCACAAACACTTGTAATTCCAGGTCCAGGGGATCTAATGCTGTTTTCTGGTCTCTGTAGGCACCTTGCACAAATGTGCACATTTGCTTGTTGATACATACACATCGAAAACCAAAACAAAACAGCTGGAGCCAGGTGGTGGTGGTGGTGGTGGTGGTGGTGCACGCCTTTAATCCCAGCACTCGGGAAGCAGAGGCAGGTGGATTTCTGTGAGTTCAAGGCCAGCCTGGTCTACAGAGTGAGTTCCAGGACAGCCTCCAAAACAATACAGAGAAACCCTGTCTTAAAAAAACCAAACAGCTGGGCATGGCGGTGCACATCTTTAATTCTAGCACTCAAGAGGCAGGTGGATCACTGTGACTTTGAGGTCAGCTTGGTCTACACAATGAGCTAGAGCTAGTGATACTCTCCACCCCAAACCCCCACATGTTATATTGCCATTGGGTGAGGTCGCATGATGCAGGGGGATCAGAAGTTCCAGGCCAGCATGGCTATTGAGTCTGATGTCAGCTTGGGCTACATAGTGAGACCCTGTCTCAAAAAACAAAACACTGTACAAACCTCCCGAATCTTCCAACAACATAAAAAAAAAATGCTAAAACAGTAAAAACTCATCGAGAAGAACAGAGGCCCTGATGCTGTCCATGAACATGGGAATGTGTTATGCTGCAGCTGGCAGAACCTACCTGCTTACAGATTTCAGTCTGGTCATCTGTCCCAAATGCACTGATGAGGTCTTCCTTCTTGGCAACCTGACCTTTGGAAACATTTACAAACACTGAGTGGGTCTGCAGAACTTCATCAAGGTCTTTTTCCCTTGAAAGGGAAAAGAGAAAGTTCCATGTGAATTCACTGGACAGCTGGAAATCCATTCACATTTAAATACAAGATGGCAACAAGATACAGGGCAAGTGCTGAAAACTGGGTGTGGTGTGCTCATCTACAATCCCAGCATTTAGGAGGTGGAGGCAGGAAAGCTGGGAGTTCAAGGACAGCTCCAGCTATATAGTGCGTTCTGTGCTACTTGAAACCCTTGTCTCAAATAACCAAAACCAAAAAAGAGAAACTGAACACTCTCTCTCTCCCTCCCCCCCACCCCAGGGGACTACCTGTGCAGGAAGAATCTCAAACTCGGGACAGGATCTGTATTCTTCCACTTAATCACAGACGGTAAAAAAAAAAAGCCCAGAAAAAAAAAACACGTCATCGTGTTATGTAAGGAAACACAGGGTGTGGTGCTGAAGGCTTCCATCTTGGAGAATCTGCCCCTAGATGGCAGTAGTGAAGAGCTATGCACTTCGATAACACTGGAGAGTCTGAGGGGTATATGTGACTTCTCCTGTTCAAAGTTCAGTAATTCTAGGATTAGCTTCTCGTTTACTATCCCAGGAAAATGACCACAGTAAGTTTCTTTTCTTTGTGAGAGTATTTGGACTATCGGATTCCCGTCTTAATCACTTATGCAAGAAGCCTCCGTGGACGGGCGTTGGTGGCGCACGCCTTTAATCCCAGCACTCCGCAGGCAGAGGCAGGGGTATCTTAGAGAGTTCGAGACCAGCCTGGTCTACAAAATCTAGTTCCAGGACAGCCTCCAAAGCCACAGAGAAACCCTACCTCGAAAAAACAAAACAAAAACAAAAAACAAACAAAAAAACTATATAAAAAAGAAGCCTCCCTCACTCTGTCCCCCCCCCCAATTCGGGGCTTCTTGGCTGCAGCTTTGTTTTGTTTCTCGAGACAGAATCACACACATTCGTTCCAGGTCGGGAACTCGCAGCAATCCTCCTGCCTCACTCTCCTGAACGCTGGGATTACAGGCCTAGGCCACCAGGCCTAGCTATGATGGAGTTTCTAGTTGGGAGTTTTTGATATCAACAAAATCCCAAGCCAGAACCCAGTTGGAATCAAGCAAACCAGGCCTATAAGGTACCCATTGGTGTCAGGGGTCGCGGTTAGGGAGGCCGGGCCTCGGGGTGGCCGGTTCCCTGGACTCTGGGCACAGGATCACTCACACGCCACTCCGCCAGCCGACGACCTTGTTTTTATAGCAGGCGATTTCGAAGCGCTTCCCTGCCCGCTTCATCCGCACCACGGCCACATTGGTCAGCCTGATCTGGTTGGTGGGGGTGAAGATCGACATGGCGGCTGCTCCCAGACCTTCGGGCTCCCCAAGTGCTCGGCTGTAACGACCCCGCGGCGCGCGAACTCCAGGGGTGCTAGGCTCTTCGCTACGCTAGGGTAGCTGGCACTGCGCACCCGACTGCGCTACTGCGCCTGCGTCAGGCGGTGCACTTGCCGGGCGAAGGCTAAGAAGCCTGCGCGGTGAGGCTTTCACGCCCTCAAAGGGAGGCGGGCTCCGATGACGTCATTCACGTGCGCGCCCGCAGCTCCTAGTGGCTGGTGAGTAATGCTCACTGACCCAGTGGAATCACGGTGTTCGAGTTGAGCCGTTCAACAGTTCTTCAGAATTCAGGAGCTGCATTCATTTTAACCTTTTAAGCAGAATTTTAGTGGGAAAGGAGGGAAAAAAAGTGTCACGAGCGTCCGTCGTCTTGTTTTCAATAATTATCAACCTGTTCGCATTCTTGTTTTATCCTCCCTCTTTGGATTTTATTATTTCGAACCACCAGGTGTGTGATGGCCTTCGCCTGTAATCCCAGAATTTTGCAGGTATAGATAGGGTACCAGGGGTTCAGGGTCATCCTCGCCTCCACAGGGAGCTCGAGAACAGCCTGGGCTATTGAGACCCTGTTCCATCCATCACCCTGGTCAAAGCACACCGTGGTATGGTTTTGGCCTTAAATACTTAAGAACACACCCTTAGCAGACACTCCCAGACACATTTTCCCCAAGGCGTCAGTGCCACCCAATATTCACGTCGCGTTCTGCGTTCCCCATCTAAACAGTGCCCGCCACAGTCGATTTGATACAGTTTAGACTCAAACGAATCCACACCTGAACTGCATACGACGACAGCCAATGTCTCTCTCTCTCTCGCTCTCTCTCTCTCTCTCTCCCTCCCTCCCTCCCTGCCTGCCTCCCTCCCTCCCTCCCTCCCTCCCTCCCTCCCTCCCTCCCTCCCTCCCTCCCTCCCTCTCTCTCTCTCTCTCTCTCTCTCTCTCTCTCTCTCTCTCTCTGTCTGTTATATTTTGAAACAAAGGCTCCCTATGTAGCCCAGACTGGTCTCTAACTCACGGGCCATCTTCCGGCCTCAGTCTCTCAAAATGTTGGGGTTAGAAGAAATGTGCTCCTCCTACGCCTGGCAGCCTTTAGTCTGTGTTTTCTTTTTTTCTTCGAGACAGGGTTTCTCTGTGGCTTTGGAGGCTGCCCTGGAAAATAGCTCTTGTGGACCAGGCTGGTCTCCAACTCACAGAGATCCACCTGCCTCTGCCTCCCGAGTGCTGGGATCAAAGACGCACGCCACCAACGCCGCCCGGCGAGATTCCTCGTTCTTTCTCATTTTACAATTCTTTTGGCCCGGCGGAGTGGCATATGCACTAATCGCTTTGTAAATTCAAAGCCAGTTTGCTGCACATAGCAAGTTACAGGCCAGCCAGGGACTCTTGCTCCAAAGAGTAGCTATCCCGAATCTCGTGATCCTCCTGCCTCAGCCTCAAGAGCTCTGAAATCACAGGCCCGTCTTACTGCGCTGTCCATCACATAGCCCTGACCTATGTTGTGTCCTGGAATCCACTACGTAGAACAGACTGGCCTCGAACTGTGAACTCACCGAGATCCGCCTGCCTCAGCCTCCTGAGTGCTAAGATTAACGGTCTGCATCGCCACACCAGGCAGTCATTCATTTCTTGGGAGTAACTTGACTGCGCCCTGCCCTCTCCACTTCTTAGAGTCAAACCGAGGGGAGCAGGAAGCGCGCCTCCCGCTCTGGACTGAGCTACCCGCAGGCCCGCCCCTTTCTACTCTGAGCCAATCCGAGAAGTACAGGAAGCGCTCCAATATCTTTCCCAGCGTTACGAGCCGGGCTTCTCTCTGGTCCCGCCCCTTCCTCATCTAAGCCAATCAGAGGGGAGCTTTGAGCTTCCGCCCGCTCCGCCGTCTCCTGGGCGCTCTGTGCTCTGTGGCCAATGCGATCGGGCCTGCGGACGGCATGGCTGCCTTAGTTCTGTGAACCCGGTCTTTCTGCTCGCCGGCCCGCGCTTTCTGCGTTTGCTGGCGGCCTGTGGGGCTTGGGCTCCGCGGAGGATGGGTGAGGCCGGGCTGGCCAGGGTCTCGGGCGGGCAGGAGGAAACAGCTTCCCTCCTCACGCTGGGGGCGTAGGTTGTTGCCCTCGATATTTTACTCTTTGGTTATATTTTTTTCTCTTTGTCGTTTCATTATATTTTTGCTTTTCTTCAGAAAGGGTCTTGTTTTGTATCCCAGCGACACTTATTGTGTCTCTCAGGAGACTGGGACTCACCATGTAGCCTAGGTCTGGCACGCATTTGTGTAGCAACCGGCTTGGCACTCAGAACGTGGTTGAGGCTGACCGGGAATTTACTTCCCAGGGGGCTTAGGAAGCTGTCACATAGCCTAAACTGGCCTGGAACCCGGCATGTGGCCCAAGCTAACCTCCAAATTTATCCTGGACCTCTTGCCTCAGTCTAATGAATTGCACGTGGGGGGGGGGCAGTCACTAACCCCAGAAAGGGGGAAAAAAAAAAAGACTCCTTCCTTATACATATATAGAGACTTCTGGGTCTGTTGAATAGTACCTGTAAACCCTAAATTTCAGGTTTCAAGCCCTTTGAAATTTCTTTAGCTTCAGTGTTTAAGGCAAGCCTCAAATTTAAAAAGAGTTAGGTGTGGGCTGAAGAGATGGCTCAGAGGTTAAGAACACTTACCACTTTTCTAGAGGACCGGGGATTAGTTCCTAGCACCCACAACCAACTGTGACTCCAGCTTCAAGGGGTCTATTCTATATGCCTCTGGTCTCCGGGGCTCATTGCACATATGCATGTGTGCACATGAACATATGCAGATACACACGCCTATACGTAACTAGAAGTAAAAAGAAAAAACATTAAAAAAAATCGGGGGACTGGACATTGAGACACATGCCTACAGTCCCAACACTTGGAAGGCAGAAGCAGGTGGATTTCTGTAAGTTTGAGACCAACCTGGTCTTCATAAATGAGTTCTAGGATAGCCAGAGCTAGAGAGATCCTGTCTCATACAACAAACAATCAGGGGCAGGCATGGCACTGTTTGGATAGTGAGACAGAAGGATTGTTGTAAGTTTGAGGGTGGCCTGGTCTTCATAATGATATCTTGTTTCAGCCAAAAATAAATCAGCCATCGAAATTTCTCAGATTGTTGAACATGAAGTTTGCTTTTAATTGCTTCTTTATTTTGTATTTTCCAAGACAGCGTTTCTCTGTGTAGCCTTGGCTGTCCAGGTACTCTCTCTGTAGACCAGCCTGGTCTTGAACTCGTAGAGATCGACCTGTCTCTGCCTCCCGAGTATCGGGATTAAAGGCGTGTGCCACCACTGCCAGGCTGGTTTTAAATTGTAAAACATCATTGGGCGTCTTTGCGTGTGGCTGCATGCATTGTTACATCTGTGTGTTGTTTTAAACTCAGGTCCTCCTCTGGATGTGTGGGACTTTTCTTCACCTTTGCTGTTGCTATGGATGAATAGGTTCTACATCTATCTGGGCTGTGCTCTGGGAATCACCCTTTGGATCTGTGTCCAGGTTGTCATTAAGAAGCAGGTAATTGGGGAAGTTTTTTTTTTCTTTGTACCTCTCCCTTTGAAACAGTTTTTAAAAAGTTAGGTGCTTATGTGTGGGCATATGCTCATGAGTGCAGTACCTGTGGAGGCCAGGAGAGGGCGCTGGATCTTCTGGAGTAGGAGTTAGAGTAGCTGAATTATAGGTGTTGGGAACCAAATCTGGGGTCCTCTGCAAGTGGAGTATATGCTTGCAGTTGGTTCTTTCCTTCTATCATGCGAGTTCCAGAGATTGATCTCAGGTCATCAGGCCTGGCCACAGGGCCTTTGCCCATCTTCCCATCCAGCTTGTGAGACAGAGTTGTTATGTATTCCTGACTGGCCTGCTACACATTATGTAGCCAACTAGCCTTGAAGTCTGGGCAGTCCTCCTGCCTCTACCTCCTGAATGCTAAGATTGCCAGCATGCATCGCCATGCCTAATGCTCACAGAAACATCAAATCTCCTTTTTGTTCATCTAAATTTTTTAAGAAATTTAATTAATTTATTTTACATCCCAGCCAGTTTCCCCTCCCTCCTCACCTCCCATACTCCCATCTTTTTAAAAAGATTTTATTTATTACTATGTACACAGTGTTCTGTCTGCATGCCAGTCAGAGGAGGGCACCAGATCTCATTATAGATGGTTGTGAGCCACCATGTGGTTGCTGGGAATTGAACTCAGGACCTCCGGAAGCGCAGTCAGTGCTCTTAACCTCTGAGCCATTTCTCCAGTCCCTCTGTCTAGATTTTTTTAATGCCTTGATTTTTTTTCCTCTTAAGATTTTAAAGTCTATTATAATAGACTAAGCCAGAATCAAGAAGATTTTTATAAAGGAATTTGACCTACAAAGATAAACAGCTGGGTGTGGTAGTACATGCCTTTAATCCTAGCACCTGGGAGGCAGACACAGGTGATCTCTGTGAATTTGAGGCCAGCCTGGTTTACAGACTGAGTTCCAGGACAGCCAGGGCTATATAGAGAGACCCTGTCTCAAAAAAGTCAAACCAAAACAATAAATAAACAAAACAATAAGCAAGCAAACAAATATAACTAAAGGAGAGAAAAATAAAGGTGTTTTGCATCCTTCAGGGACTAGGATAATCTTTCCTTATACCCACTAGAGGCTAGAACATAAAAATGTACAGTTTGCCCTCCGTATCCTGGTGGTTTTCAGGATTAAGCTGAAGAATGGAAAGTATTTGGCAAATGGGCTGTCGAGCTGGCTCAGCTGGTCAAAGCACTTGACGTGCAAACCTGACAACCTGAGTTTCAGTCCCCAGGGCCCACATAAGAAGCTGGCTGTGGGCTAGAGCAGTAGCTCTGCAGTTACCAACATGTATACCTCTTGCAGAGGACCCAAGCCAGCACCCATGTCATGTGACTTACAGCTGCCTGTAACTCTAGTACCAAGTGGTCCAACACCCTCTTGTTTATCTTCCAGGTCATTCGCTCTCAGGAAAAAAGTGTCCCAGGGGCTCCCGACAGCTCTCTTCCCCTTCAGAAGAAGCAGACACACGTGTCTGGAGTGAAGATTTTCTATGGATCGCAGACCGGCACCGCCAAGGTGAGAGGGCTTTGTACAATGCCTCTTCCTTTGGTTTCTCAGCCTTTAAAGAAGATTCCAGAAACCCTTAGCAGTGAGCTTCGTCAGTCTTCCAGTCCTATCCTACTCCCTTTGTTCCTTTCTGGATGGTTTCCTTCTGTTGGGCCCAGTGTCTGTCGGTCCTGGGCTCGGAGGAACCCGAAGCCCTTGTCTGCCTCTGGAGGATGGAGGTTCTACCTGTGGGAATAGGACGTGGACTTCAAGCACATCCAACCCTGGGACATTGTGCCATGACATTGTAACCTTATGTGAGAACCTCGCTATGAGGTAGGAAAATTACCAAACACTGGCAATGAGGGAAGTTTGTGATTCTTTTCTTTTGGTGGGCTGCATTTATAGCTTCCCTGGTGTGCCTGCTAGAAAAAGGTGGATCATGGTGGTGGTGTTAGGGATGGGTCCCATCTCTGGCAAGTTCACACGTCTATTCAATGTAATCAGGGAAGGTTGCAGAGTCCCGCTGGAGATGGACCAGAGTCAGCGGCTTCTCTTCTTGGGTCCTCGTGTCTCTTGCCTCCCTGGAATGAAGGTCACAACTATTGAGAGCTTTCTAGGAAAAGACTGATCAATGAGAATGAATCATTAAAAAACAAACCCAATAGAACAAAACAAAACAAAACAAAAGGGGGGGGGCTAAAGAGAGTTCTACTGCCCTCTTGTGGATATTATACAAAATAGCTGTTTTGTTTTGAGACATTCTCAAGTGGCCCGTTCAGAATAATACTGTTATTTCAGTTTAAAAACTGTTTATTTTGATGTGTGTATGGGCATGTATGTAGGCACACATGTAGGTGCCAGAAGAACAAGTAGCAGGAGTCAGTTGTCTCCTACCATGTGGGTTGGGGGTGGGGCTTCCGTCCCAGGTTTGGCAGTAAGTGCCCTTACTCACTGAGCCATCTATCCCAGTGGCCCCATTCAGGACCTTAAGGTAGTTTTGTTTTGTTTTGTTTTTCAGACAAGCTTTCCATGATGCCAGGCTGACCTCAAACTCTATGTACCAGAGACTGACCTTTGCTGAGTAATTCTTATGCCTTATCTTGACATATTAATCACATAATGGGGTTTTAATGGCTTCTTTTAATTGGTGGTCACTGGTAAACTCTAGTCACATGGTTGGTTTTTCTGGCTACCAGTCTCTACCCTGAAGCCATCTAAGGGCCCCCTCTAGTGAGTCATGTCACTGGCAGGATAGTGAGTTCAGAGGTTTTCGAGTAGCAAGGGTGGCCTGCTCACCGTTGTGTACATGCACTTGGGCTGTGTGTAGAGTAGGCATGCTCCCCTGGCCCCGGCCCGTACTCTGTCCACTCACCTGAGTGTGTTTTCTTCCATGGTGCTCTTCTACTGACTCTTGTCCATCCATCTGGTAAGCCAGAAGCAGCTTCAGGACCAGGGCTCTGTCCGTCTTGTTGGCTCCGTGTAATGTTGTGCAGAAGCGTGGCCGGCACAGCCAGTGCCCAGTCAGTGAAGTGCCCATTGCGACAGTTAGGGGGCATAGGGGGCCCTGTCTGGGACTGCTAAGCAGAGGAGGGTGTTTTTCTCGAGTGTGCAAACCTGCCGGAAATGTTAGCATTCCTCAAGCATTTGGTTCCTGGGCTTTTAGAGAGCTGACAGGTGGAGGGCAGGTGCCACCTGGACCCTGCCTTCCGGGCTTGTCTGTTTCCTCCCTCCCCCTTGTGCTGTAGCCTCCCTGGGTTCTGTCAGACAAGATGTGGCCTCCAGGGCTTCTTCCTGTCTGTCACCTAGCTTCCCATGCCCCGCCCCCCAGCTATGTTCCTGTGCAGCTGTGTACCTGTAATAGCCAAAGGACAACCTTTGTAGAGGTCACCAGCATAGCAGGCTCCCAAATCATCACCTGGAGACTTACTATTAGTTATGAGCATGTGGCCTTACCTTGGGCTTGTTTTTAGTTAGCTTTTTTTTTTTTACTTTAGTAGCCCATTTTTGTTAATCTGTGTGCTGCTCCCAGGCTCGTGCACCTCATCCACACACTGTCCATCCTGATTTCCTGCTTCCTGTGTGTCCGGCTGGCTGGGCCCCTTTTCTCTTTTCCTGCCAGCCCCACCCATCCCTCCTCTGCTTAGCTATTGGCCATTCAGTTTTGTATTAGGCCAATCAGGTGCCCTAGGCAGGCAAGGTGAAACAGCAACACGTCTTTACAAAGTTAAAGAATTATTCAGCAACACAAACAAGTGCAACACATGTCTACGTAGTTAAATAAATATTCTGTTCCACAACCCAGGGGGTCCTCGTGCTCACAGATAAGCACCAGGAATGTTAAACACGCAGGACTTACCTCTTCAAAGGAGTGAATGTGGGACCTGTTTGCCACCCAGAAGGCTGGGAATGGGTGTGGTTAGTAGCCCGGTGACCTCCGTGCAATCTGTAGGCCGGGCCACACCTGAGTTGCCAGGCTATTATGTTTATCACAGAGTTCTTCCTCCCTAGACCCATGCGTGTGCACATAGGTCAGAATAGCCGTGGGAGTTGGTCTTATCTTTCCACCATGTTTGTCCCAGGGGTTCAACCTATCAAGCCAGTGCCTTTTATGCATGAAGTCATCTCACCAGACCCAGCCTCTCTGTTTCCCACTCTCTTTACAATTTTTCTGTTCTTATTGGCAAAGAACTGAAGTAAGTGTGGATTCATCCCCGTGCACACCTTTATAGATTGGAAATACGACTCAGTGTCTCATCTTTGTAAGAATACCCTGTTCATGATGATGAACGCTCAGGACACAGTTGCTGCAGAAGCATCCACCACAAGGGGGCGCCATGCCCTCTTGCCAGCTGGAGCAGTTTTCCTTATTTGGCACACTGAAGAGTTATTTGTTTTTAATTTCCCCCCCCCCTCTTTTAAGGGATTTGCAGTGACTCTTGCCAAAGCAGTCACCTCTCTGGACCTGCCTGTGGCCATTATAAATTTGAAGGAATATGACCCAGACGACAACCTGATAGGAGAGGTTGGTAACTGTCTTATTTTTCCCTTCAATTAAAACTCACATTTGGAGATTCAGAGGTGGCTCAGCAGTTAAGAACTCATGTGGCTTCTGAAGAGAATCTAGGTTCAGTTCCCAGAACCCGCCTTGGATAGCTCACAGCGGCCCATAATCCCAGATCCAGGGAATGTGATGCCCTCTTCTAGCCTCATTCAGATCCAGGGAATGTGATGCCCTCTTCTAGCCTCGTTGGGGACCTGTATTTATGTGCACATAGCCACACACATACACACAGTTAAAATAAAACTTTAAAATTCAAATTTAATTGATCACCTGTGCTGTGGGGTTATTAGACTCTCCAGAACGATTTGAATTTTCATGATGAATTGTTTCAACTGGAAACTTTTCCACTATGACACAGGAACTTCGATTTGTTTTTTGAGTTGAGTTCTTGCCCTGTGGCCCTGGCTTGACCTCAAACGGAGCAGTTCTATTGCCTCTGCCTCCTGAGAGTGCTGTGATTTCTGGTGTACCGCTGTGCTCAGCTCCAATGCCAACATTTAAGAAATGAACTTCACTTAGATAATGGATACATTGTGTATTATTATTATTTTTTATAGATTTAGTATGTCTTTTTTTGAATATCAGTGTTTGCCTAATTGTAAGTGCACCATGTACATGGCTGGTGCCCATGGAGGCCAGAAGAGGACATTGTTGAATCCCCCAGAACTGGAGTTCTAGCTGGTTTCGGTCCCCCATGTGGGTTCTGGGAATAGAACCTGGGTCCTTTGGAAGAACAGTAGGTGCTCTTAACCACTAGGCCATCTCCACTGTGTCTTGAATATTCTTGTAATCATTCTTAGTTCTAATATCCTTCTGATATCAATTCTGTTTTATTTAGATCACTAGTAAAAATGTCTGTGCCTTCCTGGTTGCTACATATACAGACGGCCGCCCTACTGAGAGTGCAGAGTGGTTCTGCAAGTGGTTAGAGGAAGCAGCTAATGATTTCCGTTTTGGCAAGACTTACCTGAAGGGTCTGAGATATGCAGTGTTTGGCTTGGGAGACTCTGCCTACCAGAGCCACTTCAACAAGGTGGGTGTGTGGCGAGTTATCTTTACCCAAAAAACAGACGGACAGACAAGGTCTCACACATGCTATGTGTATGAGGACGAACCTACAGACAGACAAGGTCTCACACATGCTAAGTGTATGAGGACGAACCTACAGACGGACAGACAAGGTCTCACACATGCTAAGTGTGTGAGGACGAACCTACAGACGG